CCCCCCCCCCCCCCCCCCTCTGCCCCCATCTCTCTTTGCATGTCAGCCGAGCCAATCAGCGATCGAGCCCAAAAACGGGCCCACCCGCAGACAGACAGACCATCCTCCCCTTCCTTTCTGTTTGCATCAGTCGAGGTCCTCGTTGTCTTTGGACTGCTCCAGGTGCCCCTTGACGGCCGCGCCCACGTTGACGACGTCGATAAGGAATGTGTCGTGGCCGTAGAGGGCGTCCAGCTCGTAGTAGACGACGTACTGGTTGCCCACCTCACGCAAGATGTCGGCGATCTGCTTCTGCTGCCAGCTGGGGAACAGAATGTCCGACTGCACACCCATGATCAATGACGGCATCTGCACCGCACCCGACGACCACATACACACAGACAGACAGGTAGAGGGCTGGACAGATGCGTGTGTGGGATGGTTGTGTTGTTGCTCCATGTCATGTGCACCCACCTGTATCGGTGTCATGCCCTTGGCAAGGTCGGGCTGGCCGTCGACGCCCCTGTCCTCCATTGTGAACAGGTCCATCGCCTGCAGCACCACAGCACAGCCCTCCACTGGTGCCGTCGGCCAGCTGGACGGAATGGACTGCGTTGTCAATTTCTCTCTCACCTTAGAGATGATGATCATCGAATTGGGGTCGTACTGAAGGCACCATTTCTTTCCCTAAACACACACGCACACACAGTGAGTTCAGCCATGCTCCCGCCCATCCATCCATCCGTCCGTGCGTGCCTGCGTGGGCCAGGTAGGTAGAAAAGTCACCTGGTGCTCGAGGTACGACTCAATGACAAAATCGGCGTTGAGCGAGGGCCTCTGCTCGTTCCTCTCCCTCCCAAACCGCTGCTCCCACTCGGGGCCGCTCCTGTAGGTGATGGTGCCGATCTCCCTCGCCAGCTTCATGCCCTGCCAGGGAAACTCACCCGAGTAGTAGTCACCCTCACCGAAATTGGGATCCGCCATCTGCAGGCACGTTGACGCATGACGGACGAATGTGCAGAAAGAGGTGGCAGGGACGATGCTGCGTGCTGGTGTGTTGGTGTTGGTGTTGATGTGGGTGGTTGTCTGACCAGGACTTGTCGCTGTGCGTATCTGAGTGCGATGCTCATGGGGTGGCTGACGGCGGCCGCGCTGATGGAGACGAGCCGGCCGACCCTTTCCGGGTACATGGCTGCCGCTGCGATGCTCTGCATCCCACCGAGACTCGATCCTACCACCGCGTGAAGCTTCCCAATGCCCAAATCATCTGTGCAGGCACACACACAGAGAGAGAGAGAGAGAGTTGGGTATGGCACCTGTGCGGTTGTCGGCCGTACCGAGGAGATGGAAGATGGCCCGGACCATGTCTTTGACGGATAGGAGGGGAAATCTGAGTGCGTATCTGATGCCGTTGCGTGGGTCGATGGCAGATGGACCCGTCGACCCATAGCAGCCACCCAGGTTGTTGGTGCACACCACGAAGAACCGATCCGTGTCGAGCGCACGACCGGGACCGATGAACTTTTCCCACCAACCTGCACAGACCACACCACACGCACCCACACCCACACAGGAAAGGTGCCCGACTGGCAGTACTGTATGGGTGGGTGGGTGTGTCTGTGGTGGTAGTGCTCACCAGGTCGTGTGTTTTTGGGTTGGCTCTTGGCGTGTGACGATGCGCTCAGGCCGCAGGTGAGGAGGATGACGTTGTCCTTAGCCGCGTTGAGGGTGCCCCAGGTCTCATACGCCAGGTGGAACTCAGGCAGCATCCCGCCGTACTCCAGTGGAAAGGGGTGTGGGTGGTGGTACAGCTCGTAGCCCGTCACCACCGACGAATAGCTGGGCTCCGGGCCGTCGCTCTTGGCCGCTGACGCAGGCTGCCGCGATGGGGAAGCGGACGATGTGGCACTTGAAGGGGCAGAGGATAGCGGGGGAGAGGGAGAGGGAGATGGGGGCTGCTGGGACGCCACTGACGCCGGAACGGTGCCGTTGATCATGGATATCACGTACTCGGAGTCGACGTGATGGCCATTGGCCGACGAACTATTCTGAATGGCCGCAGCGCTCGCCGCATTGCTAGTGCTGCTGTACGGCCGTCTTGACGATGATGAACCACTGCGTATCTGCCGGCAGTGCGGAGGAGGGCTGGCAAAGGGCAACGGGCGCGTGGCGGATGGCGTCGACACTCCAAGGGCAGGAGCCACGAGCCTCAGTGACGAGGAGATCCGCCGCATTGCGTCTCTGCTCACTGTAGCAGCGAGAGGATCCATCATGTACTCGTCCACACCTGCGGGAGGAGCGTCTGGTGCTGCTATTCGTACCGATATGGAGGACTTCCTTCTTGTCAGAAAGGAGCTGCAACCGGGCAGCAGCGGTTTCAGGAAGCTGCAGCGGTTTCATGGAGCACCCTAGGCGGCACCCCCGGCGTCCTGAGTTTGCCTCTGATTCCCCGCTTGGTTTCTGAGTGGCTGCAGTGCTGATGTGTAAGATCTATTGAAGAAGAGCAAATATCTGCCTTCTTGTTGGACGAGTTGACCGCGATGGACAACGTCACTGAGGTGAGAAGGGGAGGGGAGAAGCCACGTACCGACACGAGCGTACACAGCTGGAACTCCGCTGTCTTTGTGTGTGGTGCAGGCCGCAGACCAATCTGCACACTCAGATGCCTCCAAGACGGCATCTGTCAGTGCCGCCAGCACCCCGAGCACCGCAACAACCGATCCATCGCCCAGGCGCCTCATTGGCGAGCTGCTGGACATCGGCGACGAGGTGCTCCAGGAGAGGGGCGAGGCGAACGGGGTGATGGTGCTGGCTGTGGCCTATCCCCTCGTGCTGCATCGGCTGTGGGCCGAGATTGCCAAGACGACGGCACCTGAGGAGCTCATCCACGGTAATGGGTACGGCACACAAACATTGATTGCACGTGTAGATGGAATGGTTGAGGATGGCGATGGACATCGATCTCTCCGTCTGCCTGCTTGTCTTTTCTGTCTGTCTGTGTGTGGGCTGCGGTGCGGCAGCACTGCACAGAAACTTTTTTGGCTTTGTGGTTTGGGAGATGAGCGACGAGGAGCCGTCCAACAGTCACCGACACTGCCTTTACCTTCATGTTTTCCCTGGTGAATACGTACTGGATGAAGGGATCAAAGTAACAGAGTGTGGGTGGGTGTGGTGTGTATGTCTATGTGGTCAGACTGCCCGTCCGGTGGCTCCCTAGAGTTCCCGCACTGCCACAAGAGGAACTGGGTGGGTGGGTGGGCAGGAGAGATCCATGTCATCCCATCTGACCCATATATCCTGCCTTGCTGGCTGGTGTTTCCATGCAGGCGTCGTTGAACCTTACCGGCACCTACAAGCACATCGTCTACACCCTCAGAGACCCAATCACCGGTAGGCTCACACACACACACCCACACACACACACACAGAGCAACAAGGTGGCGTGGCGTGGATCAGTGCATCTATTGAAGCGTGTGTGGCACAGGAGCCCCCATGACGCCAGACGTGTCCATTGCTCCAGAGTGTCCGACCCAGCACCTGACGCTCTTTGAGCACAAGGTTGAGGGCGGCATCGACAAGAGGGGCCCCGTGCGTCTGGACGCCGTGCAGGAGTTCATCTACCAGCCGGGCACTCTGCAGTACATCAGGAAGGACGTGCCGCATCGCTTAGACGAATACGGTGGGCGGGCGGGCGGGTGTGTGTGGAGGTCGGGGGGAGGGGTTCGTGTGGTGTGGTCTGTGGTGTGATGTCGTGGTTGTGGTTTGCAGCGGGCACCCTGAGCCTAAATGTCCGCGAAAATGGCGGCAACATCATCAACACCCTGTTCACCGTGCTGCACGGCAAACCCATACCCAAGGTCTGTCTGTCTGAGAGCAACCAACTCCCAACAACTCTGACCACACCTCTCTCTCTCCCTCTCTCTCTCTCTCTCTGTGTGTGTGTGTGTGTGTGTGCTTGTCTTGGTCCATGTGGCTGAAGGGTGCCAAGGCTAATGAGCCCCTTGCTGGCGTCTCGGAGGTGATTGACGTGTTGCGGCGTGTCGAGGAGCAGCTCGCCAGCACTCAGGAGGGCCGCATCAGGGCCTTCACCGCCATGGGTGGCGACCCGTTGCGAGTGGGTGACACTGTGCCCATACAGGCGGCCTTCCTATACGCCACACACGTCGTCAGCCGCTTCCACGACAGGTCGGTCAGCAGACCGACCAACACACACACAAGTGCTTCCCATTCCGACGGCCATATGTTTGTCTGTCTGTGTGCAGGTACCCATTGGCTGTGCCGCTGTGTCCGTCGAGCGATGCGGTGCAGGTGGGTGTGGTGGATGAGGCGGCCCTTAGGATGCTGGTCGACGGCCGACAGCGAGTGGTGCCAGCCGCCAGGGTGCCACAGCAGGTCTGACCTGACGGATATGGGTCCATTTAGATGTGAGCAAAATGCTCACAGGTTGATGTATGTCGAGTTTTGGCGAGTTGTGGAGGTCGGAGGGGTGGGCCTTGGTGCTGTGTGTGTGGAGCTGTGAGCTGAAGACATTCATTCACTGACTCAGTAATTGTGCGGCTGTCTGTAAGAAAGGAAGTCTGCACACACACCACTGACGCCATGCATCACCTGACCACACGCAGTCGACATGGGCCATGCACAACACAACACCTTGCTAGAAAGAGCGCGGAAAGGCACCCTGCAGTCAGGCGGACAGAGAGAGAGAGAGGAAAAATCTGCTGCCCTTTCACTCACTCACAACGGACACACAGACAGCATCGCTCGTCAGCTCCACTCACGGGTGCCCATTTGAAGACCGAACCACTGCAAGGCACACTCAGACATCCCATAAGCCGTCCACAGCATACAGTCGATGTGACACCAGGCAACACAGGACGGCACCTCACACACGGAAATCCGCCGCCTGCCTGTCTGTCTATCTGTCTGTCTGTCTGGCAGCTTTTGACGTCACTGCATGGACAGAAAATCAATACGCCGCTCCGCTCAGATGCCGCCGATCAGCCTTCGGCTCACCTTCGACTGTATTTGGCGATGGGGCGCAGGTATGCATGTGCTCGCTATCCAGCAATGAATGGTTTTGTTGTTTGTGATGGATGGAGGCCCATCGACGGCTTCAGGCGCCGCCTGGGAGTCGTACACGGATGAGATCAAGGAGGGGGACACGAAGAGGAATCCGATGCGTCTCCGTCGTGAAACGCACGCAAGACTTGCCCCCACGAGGCCCCCACCTCTCAAAGAGAAACCGAGAGGGGGACTCCCGCATCACCCTACCCACCGGACCCCATTCCCGCTCATCCACCTTTGCTATCGTTTCTCTTTCCGTCGCGTCTGGGCCCTCCATCCATCGCATCACCCCAATCCCGAAAATGAAGCCATCCCCTCTCTTCCTTGCCGTCTGTTGCCTGGTTGCCGTGCCCGCGCTGGCCCAGCGCGACACGCCTTTGGAAGGCGCCTCGTTCCTCGATGCGGCGGGCCCGGTGGGCGATGTGGCCGCCTTCACGAGCAACCTCGTCGCCACGACGACAAGTGCCCTGCCCACCTTCGGGGGGCTCATCACCTACGAACGCGCACGTACCAACGGAAGGAGACAAGCAGCCGAGCGTGTGACACACACAAGCTCCCCTCTGATTGTTGTGTCTTCGTGTTCATCTTTGGCGCAGAGTCGCTGCTTGATCAGTTCCCTCTCCGATGGGACTTGGACAGCCTCCTGACCAGTGCGATTGAGGCCGGCATTGACATTCCCAATGCAGGGGCCGAGGGCCTGGAGGACCTGCTGCGCAGGGCCACCGTCATGGGCACGCCCTTGAGGCTGGAGATGCTCATGGAGCTACCCGACCTCCAGGGCTACGAGCCATCCGTCTATCCCAAACTTGAGGAGTTCCTGCAGCTTGGTCGGTGCCCCTGCACTCACTCATGGGACGCACCGTCAGCTCTTGCATGGTGTCTCTGCCTGTGCGATTGTGTGTGTCCATGCAGTGGTGGCCCATGCCCGTTCGGCGATCCGCCTTGGTAGCCATCCTGCGGACAAGGTGTGGTCATTCCTCGACTACGTGACGACCCGCGCTGCCGAGCTGGCGCGCCACCTGCCCCCGTACTTCTTCAAGGGGGGAAACATCGAGGAGCTGCTCAAATTCGACAGTGACACCATCATCAAGGTAAGGTGCATGCCTTCCTCCCTGCGACCCACAGCCCAGCCTTTGTGTCTCCTTCTCTGTGTGTGTCCTTCTAGAATGCGCTTGAGATGCTGACTGGGATCCCCACCAGATTCCCGGGCGACATCGTGGACCTGTCCAAGCTGATCGAGGTGGACCTGGAGTGGCTGGGCCCCAAGGGCGCGATCCTCTACAACCCCGCGAGCCTCACCAAGCTGCCCTATGGCAGCCTTGACGAACTCACCAAGCTCATCATGGTGAGTGAGCGTACACACACGCATCCACACGTCCACACGGCTGGGCTGTATTGTGCTCCTTCCTTGGTAGAAAATGTTTCACACGCTGCGGCCCGTCGGGAAGGACGACCTGCAGAAGACCTTCCCCGCCCTCGGTGTGCACGCCGTCATCGAGGCGATGGAGATGTTCCTCAACGATTACATCCTGCCGGCCTACAAGACAGCCATCGGCCCGTGGACCAAGATCGCAGACGGATTCACCGGCTACATCGACGCCTTCACCCACTTCATCGCAAGCATGACTGCCGAGGGTAGGTACTATCCTCCTTGCAACACTCACATCCATCAACTCAACCTGCACACAGACGGACGTCCCCCATGTCTGTGTCTCTCTGTCTCTCTGTCTCTGACTCACCCACCCACCCACGTGCAGGTGCCAAGGTGTTCCTGCAGCTGGGCGACGAGCTGCCAGGCAGGAGCGACCTGGTCGCGTACTTCGAGAAGGTCACCGCCTCCCTCTTCGCCGACGCCTCCAAGCTCATCCCCACCTGCGACCGCTTCCTGCCCAAGTCCTTCGAGTGGTCCCTCTGCGATCTCTTCTTCAGCCAGACATTCGGCCCCAAGGCCAGACGGCGCCTCATGTACGACCCTAGCAAGCCCCCTAGCAAGACCCGAGCCGGCGAGGTGACCATCATGCAGACGGGGATCGAGTCCGTCCCCACGCTCATCAGCGCAGCCATCCAGCCGATCTCCATTGGCCACGACCTGCTGAAGCCCCTGGCCGACATCTTCATGGGCGACAGCCACCACAAGAAGGTCGAGTACACCGACCTGGAGCTCGACACCTTCCTGAAGGAGGTCCTGGCGCCGTTCGTCCACATGATGCAGGAGCTCGCCGCCACCTTCCACAAGATCCTCGCGGCGGGCGGCTACTCATGCGGGAAGGCCGACTGCGAGACCGAGAAGCACGTCTTTGAGCACCTCATGAGCATCAATGTGGTTGAGGGGTTCAAGCTGCTCCAGCCAGCCGCCGGATACTCCACGAGTAAGAGAGTGCTGCCACACGAACCGATAGGTACCCATCTTCTCCTGATCCTTGGGTGCAGAGGTGGCATCCGATTTGTACCACTTCATGACCCGCCTGGCCAAGGAGGTGAGACACACACCATATGTCTTCCCTCTCCCCCAGCTGCCCCGCTCTCCTTTTCTGCATACTACGAGTGGGTATGTGGTTGTGTTGTGGTGTCTTGTGGTGTGTGTGTTGTGTGTGACTTCAGCTGTTTTACGAGGCCAAGTCGTACGCTGAGAGCTTCCCCAAGCTGCCAGTCCTGCCTCCCCCGCCCCCCAAGGTGCCCGTCCTGCAGCCGCTCGACGCACTCAAGCACCTCGACGACCTCGCTGCCCACATTGCGGTGCACACACAACAGGGAGGGAGCAGCCACATCGAGCACTGCCTACATCGGTCCTCTTGTGTATGCACACGTAGGGCGAGCTGACGAAGCCGATTGGAGGCGGTGGGACTGTCCTGGCCGGCTTCTTCAAGACCGCCAATGGCAAGACTGTGGAGTATCTTGACATGTTTGTCAAGGAGCTCGTCAAGGCCTTCCAGCCCGTCAGCAAGCTCTTCAAGGGCGGATTTTACGAGATCGCATCCATCAACTTCATCTCGCATGAGGGCGGCAAGAGTAAGACAGACACACAGCACCCCAACACTTCTGTCTGCAGCACGGCACAACCAGCAGCAGCAGAGACATGTATGTATCTGCCGCTGTGTGTGTCTGTCTCATGGCGTTGCGTATGCAGTGCTGCGCGACTTCCGCCGGTACTTCGACCTTTCAGGCCCCATCGACGAGAAATCTCGCGCCAGTTACCTGAGAGACGTGGCGGCGGCGATCATCAAGGACGCCCAGCTGCGCATCCCCACCATCGAGCATCTGGTGGACGGCTTCGACAAGGGGCTGTTCAAGCTCTTCCAGGACGCTCTCAAGGGCGGCTACGAGATCACTCCCTCTCTCCTCACCGGGCTGCCCAAGCCAGTCATGGACCTCCTGAGCCCTGATGAGTGGGGAAGCTTCCTCCAGCACATCCTGGCCCCCTTTTTAGAGCTGCTGCGGCTGGGCGGCGACAGGCACCACAAGGAGGCGGGGCCCGACCTCTCCAAGGTCTTCGACGACTACCTGCCCAAACTCGCGGTGAGTAGTGCGTCAGGTGGGGTGCAAAGGGTCGAGACGGTCGACAATGGTGGCACACCATGGGCCATGGTGTGTATGGGTGTGTCAGGTGGACGGCTACCACGTGCTGCTGGGCCAGCTGACTAAGACCTTCACCGCCATGCTGCCCGCGGCCATCTCGATGCCCCCGCTGCTCAAGGAGATCCAACAGCTCATCACCAACCTCGCCAAGGAGTGGCTCGCCATCGCCGAGCACTTCGTCGGGGCCTTCAGCAAGCTGCCCTTCCTCCCCCCGATGCTGCCCCACGTGCCGGACCTCCTCAACGTGGACGACTACTTCAAGGGCTTCCTTTCGCTCATTCCCCCGCCGCCCCCCGGGTTTCCCAAGGGCCTGCCCATCTACAACCCCTTCGAGGACCTCCTGGTCGTCCCCAGCAAGATCGCCGGCTGGCTGGTGGGCATCGGGGGCCAGATCCCCCTGCCGACGATCCCCTTCCTGGACGTGCTGACCTATGGCGGGTCGATCGTGGCCCCCGACATCCCCTTCTTGAAGGAGTTCACCGAGATCCTGAGTGGCTTTGCGCACAACGGTGCCGGGCTGCTGACAGGCAAGTGGCTGGCAGGGTTCAAGAAGTTCATGGCGGTGCCCGAGAAGATCATCAAATTCGCCATCGACTTCCTTGTCAAGGTCGCACACATGGTACGTCACCTTATGTTGGGAGGGTGGACGGGGGGATGGGATGGGTGGCCCCCTACCTGCAATCCGGTCTGGTTATTGCCGTTTCTCTCTCTCTCTCTCTCTCTGTTTTCTGCGTGTGATGGCAGGTGACGAGCCAGATGGCTCTGTTTGACCCACAGCAGTATCGCGGCTACATCGACATGGTCGCCACTTTCGCTTACGGCAATCTCAACAAAGTATGTCGCACTCGCTCACTCACTGCAATGCCCGAAAAGTTCCCACACGTCGCAAGGCGAACAGACAGCATGCCTCCGTCATCTGCGTGCGCGTGTGTGTGTATGCAGCTGATTACGTATCTGACTGATCTGGGGCTGCCGGGTCTCGACAAGGCCACGGGAGACATCAGGGCCTTCATCGAGAACATCATCACACACACAAGTAGGTGGTGGGATGGATACCCGCTTTGCCCGCTCACGTGTGAACGCGTGTGTGTTTGTGTGTCTGTGTGTGCAGTTGAGGAGCCCGCCAACTACATCATGTCGATGACCAGGGAGCTGCTGGGCGCATTCCTTTACAGATTCGACGAGCTCGTCCACCCAGACTAGTAAGATCCCAATCCCCCACCCCCCCGGCGCACCCGACTCCCACAGGGATGTCCTCATGTCTCTCTCTCTCTCTCCGTCTCTCTCCCTGTGTGTGTGCAGCGACGACTTTGAGAAACTGGTGAAGGATACGATTGACAAGACCACCGTCAGGGATTCAGACATCGACAAGGTCATCAAGGGCATGCTCGGCACCACCCCCTCTCTGTCACTCGACACCAAGGCCCTCACCGACCTCCGCCAGGAGGTCACCGCATTCTTCGAGACAATCGTCACACAGCGCGGCAAAATGGGAGCCGCCTTCAACACCAAGCGACAAAGGCGACTGCAGGTGGCCAGGGCAGTCGCTGTCTCAACCAATGCCCTCAGTGCTCTCAGCGGACTCACGGTAAGGGAGCCAGCCAGGCAGGCAGGCCAGCAGGCCAGCAGGCCAGCAGCCACAATCTGTGCGTTTGTCCATGTGCGTCTGTGTCAGGACGACTACCTCATTCGCCGCGCGTCAACGGCACTGCAATCCACGATGTTCAGCCTGGCCGAGCCCCTCATGTGGGGATTTGACCGAGCCATCGCTCAGACACCACTCGGCGCCCTGGCCAACGTCGCCTTGGCCACACCACTGCCAGGATTGGTCGCCACAGGCCTCACACCCTTCACAGGATTGGGCGCCCCCCTCACGGCGGCACAGAAGGGCGCTGAAGCGGCGCTCCACTTGTTCGGCGAGGCGGCAGCGCTCTTCAGCCCCCTCCCAAAGGGGTACCCACACCTGCTGTCGGGCATCACGGAAGCGGCCACGTCCATCTTCGATCCCACCTCTCTCCTGCCAATGCTGTCGCAAACCACAATGATTGACGAGCTGCTCGGCGGCATGGGCCTGCAAGCCGGCGCGTCCATCCTCAAGTCTCTCACATCGGGCATCCCCACCCTCCCCCTGAGCATCGCCAACATCCCTCTGCTCGGGGGTGCGGGCGGCCTGGGCGGCCTGCTGGAGCTGCCGGCGTCCTTCGCCAAGACGGCCACGTCCCTGCTCGACGCCGTGACGCCGGTGGAGATGGTGGCCCTCGTGCAGATGTTCCTGAAGCCCTCGTCGTTCACGGGGCACGGGCTGGCGCATACGGTTGGCGGGCTGCTGGGTGACCTCCCCAAGAGGCTGGACGACCTCGGCTGGCAGGGGGACAAGAAGACCCTCGGCGACAGGATCGACAGATTCGTGTCCATCGTTGCCGGGAGGAAGGAGACGGTATTAATGATCGATGCACGGGCGGACAGATGTGTGTGTCATGACATGTGTGGCGGGGGAACTGTTTGTTGTGTTGTGTGCAGTACGACAAGGAGCACAAGAATGAGCCTGCCAAGGTGCACGCCTTCGGCGACTGGATGTTCCTCCGCACGCTGGTCGAAGCCAACCGCATGGCGCTGTACCTCATCGCCAATCCCGATGTCGCCATCAAGACAATCGACGAGTACTTCACACAAACGGTGCGGACCGATGCATATGGGATACAATGGCAGGCAAAATCGGAGACAGACAGACAGACAGATACTTGTTGCGTACGTGCGTGTGTATGTGCAGGCTGACTCGCTGTTTAAGGAAGGCGTGCACTTCATGGACAGCTGGTCGAGCCCCTTCTTCAGCGGCAACAGGCTCTTCTACGAGAGCATCGACTGGGGGAAGATAATCTCCCTCCCAGGCGGAATCGAAAACATCGCCGAGGCCGGCGCGCGGCTCGGCCTCTTCAAGTGATCCTCTCCATCCATCCTCCCATCCATCGATTCTCGTCCCTTGTTTGGTCAATCCGTGAGTGAGTGAGTGAATACATGTGTGTGTGCATGTGTGCGTGAGGCACATAACAAACACCACACCCTGTAACCATAGGCTCTATCTTTTTGGGCCAGTCACGTCACGTCACTCATCAAATCATGCATGCCCTCTTTTCTTTCAGCCCGCCCGCCCACCTGCTGGCTGCCCGCCCGAGCCCCCGTCTGGCTGGCTGGCTGGCTGGCTGTCTGTCTGGCTGTCTGGCTGTCTGCCTGTCTGCTAATTCGCCATCGATACAGCTAGGCATCTTGTGCGTTCTGTCGGTCGGTATCTATGCAGGTGTGGCTGATGGCTGGACGGATGGATGGATGTACCACCTGTGCGCCTGTGCCTTCCTGGTGTTCCGTGAGGGTTTTCAAGCGCTGGCTGACTGACTGACTGCCTTGCTGGCTTCATTCGTCTGCAAGTATACATGCGCCAGCCGATATGTGTGTGACAGTGTGTCTGTCTGTCTGTCTGCATGACGATATATGTCGATGAGTGCATCCGTGGACAAGGTGGGTGGGCGAGAGGGCGTGTGGAGGGGAGGGGAGAGGAGGGGTGGCTTGAGGCAGTTCACGAGGTGGGTGGATGGGCGGAGTGGGCCGCCTCTCACAAAGATATGTCAGGCACACATGCCGAAAAGGACCATGATGGGCCGTCGAATAAGACATTGACCCGTCGCCGAATTGAATCGCAAACACGTTTGACTGAGAGGGGCGGAGAAGCACGTTTCAGATGAGAAAACTGAGCTCTATGCAGCTCACATCCTTTCACCTGCACTTGGCCAAGATAAGAACGGGAACCCTCTTCTCGGCTCGCATCCGCAAAAGGTGAGCAGAGAAAACGAAGAGAAGGCCTGCATCCATCCATCCAGCACATCCAGCGCCCATCGCTCTTTCCGTGCTGTCCATCTGTCAGCTAGCTCCCTTGACGACGAGTGAGTGCTCCCTGTCGTGAAGTGATTTGACGAAAGTACCGTACCTGGTTGAGTTCATCGTTGCCCGCACTATCGTATCGGCTCATGGCGGACGTCGACGCACCCCCGGCTGGTGAGCGGGCGGCCTCCGGGGCACACACACGACCTTCTCAGGCAGAGAGAGAGGCCGGGGAGGGCGGAGGGTAGTCGAGGAGTCGCAGGAAGGCCGCATCAGTGCGTGTGCGTGAGAGACATGGGGTATGGCGACGTACGAAGGTGCTCTCTGCGTGGGTGTGTGCGTTTTCAGATGTTGCTGATGCCGGCGCTGCCCCGAAGGCGAAAGTACGCAGCACCACAGCACTACACAGCACCCCTCCATGGCCATGCACACCACACCACACACCACCACATAGAGGGAGATCCAGACGACGACCGTCCTGTGCTCCACCCTTCCCTTGTGTTGGTCTTGTGACTTGTGTCGTGTGTGGTGCCTTCAGGCCAAGGGGAAGGGCAAGGCCAAGTCCGGTGGTGGCAAGGCGCGTGCTGCCCCGAAGCACCCTTCGTTTGAGGAGATGATCAAGGAGGCCATCGGCACACTCAAGGACCGGTCAGGCAGCAGCCTGTTCGCCATCAAGAAGTTCATCCAGGCCAACTACTCCCTCGACGTCGAGGACGCACGCACCAAGCACCACATCAGCCGCGCACTCAAGAAAATGAGCGAAGCCAAGAAACTCATCACGGTAAGAAACTTACACACACATGCACACATGCACACACAGGGGGAGGGCAGGTGATATGGTGTGGTGTGGTGGGATGGTGTTGTGTGGTGGGTGCATCTCGACTCGACGTGTGGCCTTCGTGTGTTGGTGTGTTGTTTGTGTGCAGATCAAGGCGTCGTACAAGTTGAACATGAACGTGGTTGGCGCTGCCAAGAAGGCCGCACCCAAGAAACCCAAGGCCGCCGCTGAGGGTACGCACGCACGCCACACAAACCACACACCACAACCCACCACACCACACCACAGACACGGACGCCGCCACCTCAATCACCCCACACATCCCTCTCTCTCTCTGCGTGTGTGTGTGTATCAGACACTGGAGTTGAGGCTGCCCCTGCTCCCAAGGCCAAGGCGAAGGCTGTCAAGAAGACCCGCGCTGCGGCCAAACCCAAGACGGCTGCCGCCAAACCCAAGGCCAAGGCGGTACGGACGCACATGGACACACGCACATCCTCCACACCATTCCGCAGGCAGGGGCCTGCCTTTAAATGCACATGTTATGTTGTCCTGTTTTGTGTTTTGTGTGATGCGCAGAGCGTTCGCAAGCCCATCACCAAGAAGCCCAAGGCGGCGGCCAAGGGCAAGGCCAAAGCCAAGGCCAAAGGTGCGCCCCCACCCAACACACCCCCCGACTTACTCCCTCTCTGTACACACGTGTTTGTGTGGTGTGTTTGTTTATTTCTTTCTTGTGACTGCAGGCAAGGCCAAGGCTAAGGCTAAGGCTAAGGCCAAGGCGGCTGCCTGAACCACCCCACCACCATACCACCACCATGCCACCATGACACCATGCCCAATACAGAAAGATGCCTGCGTGATGGACTGACTGACTGACACAAGTGATCGAGCCCGCCTCTTTCTCTCCCTCTTCCCCACCCATGTATCCCATGCCACCTCACCCCATTCGCCCAGCTCAGCCCTGCACGCACGTCCACGTCGCACGACTCAGGCAGCCCAGGCCCTTGTGTGTGTATGTGTGTGTGGTGTGTGTGTGTGTGTGTATTGTTTATATATACTCACGGGCAATACTGGCTGATAGACTCACTGCGTTGTGTTGTGTTGTTGGGTTGTGTTGGGGATTGTACATTCTGTTCCCCCCCCCCCAATCTCTGTCTGTATCTCTCTCTCTCTATCTGTCTGTCTGTCTGTCTCTGTATGGTCTCGGCCGTGCTGTGTGTGGGGCGTGGCGTGTGTTGTGGCTGGGGGGCGGGGCGGATGGGGTCGGGGCGGAAAGAGAGAGAGAGAGGCAACACCGAGACAATCACTCACACCACCTCAGCATCCGTAGCCAGATGACGACTCTCTGACTGTGACTCTGACACTGACGTGATTGACCGAAAGACGGGGAGCAGCAAAGGGAGACAATACACAACACACACACGACACATCGACTGACGGACAGACAATCGGACATCGGCACCCTCTTTTTCGCTAGGTGCAACTGACACGAGTGAGCAGACTGCATGGCAGCCAGACGGGGAAGGAGGGAGGTGCGAAGGGGGAGGGGCGGGGCGGTGCGGGCTGGGGGGGAATGTGGTGGGGGACACCAAAGAAGGAAAGAAGGAACCGGCGTGTGCTGTTTTTCTCTCCCTCATCCGCTGGTCGATGCATGCCCCCATGCATCGCTCGGCGGACTCACCGGTCGCCCGACGTGCGTTATGAGCCCTCTCCCTCCCTCTCTACTCGCCTGTGGCCTTTCTCTCTTTTTCCTTCCCCCTCTCTCTTGGCCTGGCTTGGCTTGAACTGTCTGCGTGTCGGTTTGCATGGCGCTAGCGATCGACGAACAACCCTCTGGCTTCACTGGAAGCCACCGCGTGACACCTGCCTGCCTGCCTTGGTGCCTTGGTGCGTGGACACGGACAGTGATTGGATGGTTTTGACAGACAGTGCTGATGCGGTGCGGTGCGGTGCGTTTATCCATCCATTTTGATTTCGTTGTTCCTTTATTTCTTTCTCTGTCTGTCTGTGTGTGTGCATAGGCGTGGGTGTATCTGGTGGATGGACGGATGGATGGATGGATGGTCTTTTTGCCCACACGGCCTGCCTCAAGTCAGGCGCTCGCTTGTACACTCGTTATGCCATGCGCCATGCTGCTGTGGTGACAAAGTGTGCGGTTGTGTGCATACGTACGTCCGGCGTGCTGACACACCCACAAACACAGACAGTACAGTACAGTACAATACAGAACAGTGCCGCACATCACACTGTCCCTTAGAATTGCCTTGCCTGTCTGGCCGCTCGCTCTTCCCCTTGTGTGCGCTGCGCACGCCTACGCTGTCTTTTTCTCGCGCTCATGGATGGATGTGTTCGCGCTTCCGTCTTTCCCTTTCCCCTGTCTGTCCGTCCGTCCGTCTGGCTCACTCCCTCACCTTCTGACGCTTTGCCGACTGACTGACTAGCGAGAGGGTGGATGGAAGGGTGACTGACTTGTGCAGTGCAGCAGTAAGTGGGGGCGGGCGTGTACGCTATGCGTGGGTGTAAGTAAGAGGGAGGGAGGGAACCCTTTGGTTGGATGGATGGATGGACCGTGTGTGCGTTGGAACAACTGACTGGCGAATTGACGGATTGATTGACGAGTCGAGCAGAAGCAGAGGTTGCTCACGTAAGCACGCGCAAAAATCTGTTTATTCGTCATCTCACACGCACATGATCTCTCCGTCGCCTCGCGCAGCGGCACCGCACCCACTTCATTTACACACACTGCAGACAAGACACTTCAGGCAGGCCTCTCTCCCCCACCCACCACCCACAGGCACGCAGGCAGACTTACAGACAAACCCTCCCTCTTATCTAGCATCAGCAGGCCCGCTCGAGCATCCAGCCCACGGCACCGCACCTCAGAACACGCCCTGTGTGTCATCCATCCCATGCATCCACACACACAACCACACACAGTTCATTCAGCCGTATCGGTGGTCCGAGAGTCAGCATATATATGGCTGTGTGTTGTGTGGGGCTGGCTCACCTGTCCGTCCCCAAATGGCGAGATGTGGCCAGAGAGGAGCTGCTCGAGGGTGGCCTGGCCTGTCAGGAACTGCTGGATCAACATGCCGGCCGTCGCAACCATCGCCAGACGACCGTTCTTCAACTCGCGAAGCTGCATCTGATGGATGGACCAAACGACGAAGAACCACCCACCGACACAGACCAGACAGACACACAGAGGGGAGAGCGTGTGACGAGAACAGTCCTCTGCCGCCTTGGTGTGGCTGCCAGGTGAGTGAGTAGTGAGTCCCCTGACCTACCTTTTCGAAGGCCTCCGGGTTGCTGGCCAGTCCCAGCTTCTGCTGCAGGTTCAGCGGGTCAAACCCCAGATCCCCCGGGGCGGCCGAGTCGGCCCTGTTGAGCGCCGCCACCTCGATGGCGCCGATCGCCAGAAGCAGCTGAATGATAGCCCCCGGCCGCTCGTTGGCCACCTTGACGAGCGCTGGGATGCCCTTGGTCTCGGAGAAGACGCCACTGGGGTCAGGCAGCTGCACCACCTCCTGAGTGGTGAGGCCCAGGGCGGCGAGCATGCAGATGCGGCCGTGCTTGAGCTCCGCAGCACGGTACCATGACAGGGTCTCTGGTTCGAGGTCGCCCGCTGCCAGCTTCCAAGGGTCAAAGTTGGGAGCTTCAATGTCGGATCCCACCAAGCCGCCCGGTGGACCCTCGGCCTGTAGGCGAGAGGGGGACAGGGATTGCCGGAGGGATCCCCTGACGCTGCTGCCGCTGGCTGGTGGGGATGGAACGAAGGCGTGAGCCACGACCGCAAGAAGAGCCAAGATGACCGCTACTGCCTTCATCTTCCAGACCGGGGGGCTGGCTATAGATAGGTGCTAGGTGACAAGTGCTTCCCTGCTGCTGCTTCTGTGACCTCGCCAACAGATCTGCCACAGTTTTCCGAGGCCGTAAATGGAAGCAAACCCTGCGCCCTAAACCCTGACGACCATTCCTTCTTTAACGCAGCAAGTGCCGCCTTGCAGCAGACGTCGGATCCGTATGTCGATGCCAAGGGAGGAACGGCGTCTATGCTAGAGAGTGTGCTCGGACGGAGGAGATAGATCGTGTGGCTGCTGCCACGTGGCGTCAAGTGCGGTCAAGTGGGCGGGTGCGGCGCGGCCTCCCAGCAGGTCTACAAGGTCCCCACTCACCAGTGGCGCGCCACACCCTTCTGGCCCCCAACCGCACTCATCGCCAAGCACGGCCACCCACACCACGGCCAACCGTCGTCCCGCCTCCACTTCAGCTGGAACGGCGCCACCACCGTGAGGTTCTGGCGCGTCATGGTGGCCAAGAAACGGGCCCAGAGTGCGTGGCGCAAGTTCTGGGAGGGCCCGAAACACCAGTTTGAGCAGTGGGTGGATGTGCCGGAGACAAGCGGGGCGTGCGCGTTTTACCGGGTGGAAGCGCTTGACGGCAAGAGGCGGGTGCTGGGGGTGTCGAAGCAAGTGGCCACGGAGGGGTGCCGGAAGTGAATGGACGGACAACTAACTGTGGGTAGGTGGGTCGGTGGAGTGGGGGTTGGTGTGATGTGAGCGTCGCCACTCAGTCACGAAGTCGGGGTGTCGATAGATAGATGTGATGATAGTGGTGCCTGCCTGCCTGCCTGCCTGAATACGTGTGTGTGCGCTGATGCGTGTGGATGGACGGACGGTAGATCAGATAGAGTGGCTGTTGAACGAACTGTCTTTCTCTTTATGGGTGGATGATGCCTGGGTGGCTGGGCTGCCCAGCCAGCCATTTCGATCCTCATTGGCCTACGGGGCACTCACTCATACCATTTGTAAGTGTGCATCTGTCTGT